GAGGCCCTCAGCTGTTCCAGTTTGGATTTCCTCTCCTCGATCTCACAGTTGCTCTGTGTTCCCAGTTCCACCACAAGCTGCCTTGCAATGTCCAGCACTTCCTGTTGGAAAGCAGATGGTCTCAAGTGCCCAGCAAATCTGCTTCAGACTCACCAATGTACTCCTGAGGGCCTCCAGAAGGCTCCACCCAGCACCAGGCCCACACACATACACGCTCATTAAAGACATTACTTCATAAGACATAGCTCCAGAGCACACACTTTTACGTTCCGGTTTTCCAGTCTGCACTCCAGCCCTGTCCAGAACCAAAGAGATGCCTCGAGCTCCCCCCACTCCACAGCTTGGGGTGCTCCCCCACCACAGAGGGCTGCAGCAGCCAGGCCAGCTCAGGCTGTCCTCATTCCGGGCTCTCTGCCTCAGCCAGGAGCAGTCTCCACCACGCTCCCACACCACTGCCCGGCTGTGCACACAGTGGGTACACAATGATCCAAGGAATTTGTGCAATGGACTGTTGCCCCTTCAAGGGTTTTCACCCCCTCCCTGTTCCCCAAAGAATTCCCTTGCATTGGGATCCATATTACCTGCAGCACCCACACAGTAACCGCAGAGAGGGTTCCCTCACCTGCAGCTGCTCTGGTTTCTTCAGCTTCAACTTCCCTGTCTTGTAGCCATCATATTTCTCAAATAATTCAAAGAACCTGGGCAGACAACAAAGGACCCTGATCCAGTTTCTGCGGTTCCAGCGCTACACAGACTGTTATCCCTACATATGCATTCACATTCTGCTCTACAAGGAGAACCAGTAAGCCCACAGCCTCCTCCGTATGCTTCAAAACCACCATCCCCCCCCAAAAAAGGGATTTCAGTCTCAGGTAAGAAAAGGAAGCAGGCACTAACTCCCCTTTGGTGAGGGGCTTCACTCTGCAGCACCTAGCAAACCTTTGCTCTTTCTTCCAGCTTTCATATGGAAAATGCCAGGATCTCTATGAGGAAAGAAGGTGCCTTCAATGAAGCAGAAAACATTTCCTGAACAGAACCATGGAAAAACTCTGCCTCCCATGTATTCATCCCTTCTGCCCTGCTTGTGTGTTCTGCAGGTGGCCCCTCCTCACTTCCCACACCACAGTGTCTTCTTGCCTTGGGACTTACTTACCGCGGATGCTTAACTTCCATTTTCATCTTCTGCTTTGGGGTTCGATCTCCATGCCGGATGACCGCAATAACACAACGAAGTTCCATCCTGGAAAAACAAGATACACCTCAAATATATCCTTAAACACTAGAATTACCACCAGAAAACTAGCTGTTCCTTCCCTTAACAGTGAAGGAATCCTTCTAGTCTAAAACAGGCACTACTGCTAAGGCTACAAAAGCAGTCAAGGTAGTGCAGGAACTACCAGGCTCATGAGCAACACAGTATCATGATACAGCATGCAAAAAAATCAAAACTATGGCAGATAAGAACCAGACTAGATGTTAAGAATTTACACATACAGCATTTTGAATTGTACCAAACTTCTTCCAAGAAAGGCAACATGCCCAACTTGTGTAATCCTCATAGCACCACTTGGAAAGACAGGGGAAAAAAAAAAAAAAAACAAAACCAACAACCAGCATGGTCCTGAAGAATGGTTATACAGTCAGGTCCTGCTTGTGATCAGTCAATAACAGCTGTATATATATTCCACAGCAATCAGCCACTTGCAGGAATCAGTAGTTAGGCTGGCTATATGACTTCATATCTCTTATAAGATCCCAGACAATCAGGGGTTGATCCTGTTCATTTCACTGTCACAAAACCCAACAGAAGCCAGCAGTGCCACAAGTGTACTGAGTTTGCAACTTTATCCAAATGACGCTGTGCTACAGGAGGGATGAACTATGCTCTCAGTTTACCTCTTCTGTAGCACCTGTTTTTTTCCCCACTTCATGCAAACACATTCAGATGCACAGAGAAATCTGTCTTCATCTTTCAGCCTTTTGTGGTGGAAGACTAATATGACCAACAGTATGAGATGAGAGCCTTGCAATTGTACATTTAATGTGAGTACCTCTACTAATGGTTTTCTACCCATTTCACTGGCAGCTTCAAAACCCTTTGCTCTGAGCAGCTACCTACTGAATAACGACGGTTCCAATGAACCGGGCAGAGTGATGCCTTAATCCCTTCCCCAGGCAGATGGAAGACTGAAGATTCCCGAAAGCCATGAGCAGTTTCTGTAATTCACCCAAAGGATGTGCCTCCACATTCATCACTCCAAGAACTCATTTACCATCTACTGCATGTTCCTTGGGCACAACTGAGCTTCTCCATGGATATCTGTCTTCCATGTCTCAACCAACACAGATGCTAGATGATGGATGTCTCCTGGACATGGCTTACATTTTGCCCCTCACATACTTAAAGGGATCCTTTTGAGAAGTTCCTAAGTACTCACATGGTGCCTGAAGTCGTGGGGACAATAGGAATATCTTCTGCCTCTGTTGGGATGGACCAGGGAATATGAAACTGGGGAGCTAATTCACGCATAATTATGTTTCTGAAACAAAAGAAATCAGAACAGAGAGTTCACAAGAAATTCCATTCTCCCAGTTCTCCTTCCCCTTCCCTATAGTCCAGGTAAAAGGTTTGAGAGCCACAGAGAGCTCCTCCTCACCTTTTTTGCAGACATCTAACAACCATGGGCTAGTTGGGGCACCCAAAAGAGAAGCACTCACATCACCAATACCACAGCTGGGCCTAGCATCCATAGCCAATCCCAATGCAGGCGTGAACTCTGGGGGCTAGGAATAATTAACCCCTTCCTGACAAAGCTCCTGCCAAACAAACATCCCCATCTGGACCACGCGCGGACTTTTCCCACACATACTGGTCAGAACTTCACATTCACTATATTTTGCTACAGATTCCCTTACCCACTACCAAAACTTAAATTTTACATACCCAAGAATTTTGGCACAGTCATCGTAGTACTTCATAGAGTTCTTCACAAAACTGAAGCCATTCACATCACAAACGAACGAGTGGCCGTTTGCTCGCAAGAGATCAAATCCACATACAGTTTGCTGCATGAGGAAACAGAGGACATGGGATTTGTGAGCATCCATGAGGAAGTACAGCAAGCAGGACAGCAGCTGCCCGAGTCGAACACGGCTGACAGGGCACTGTCACACAGGCCCCACATACACTGTCCAATTCAGCTCCACTGGTGTCTCCAAAGGCAGTTACTGCAATAGTTGCTGCAGTGACACACTGCTGCTGTGTCACCAGTCCTGAGGTAGTGAGCAGTAGCAGGCCCTTTAGTGGAATCTTTACACCATCACAGCTCTACCAAGGGCCCAACATAGGAACTCTTGTACTCTGCAAGTTAATGCTACCTCAAAGAGCAATAGGGGTATAAGAAAACAGCTCTTGCCTCTAAATTCAGCTATTATGAACCAGACCGTAGAAGTACAGAAAATAAGCAGTGCATGCACAGACATCCACCAATGCATGAAAAAGGCTGTAATGCAGAATATACCCACAGCTCTATACTCATGAATATACTGAGTATATTCAGCTGAGCTGAATACACCCAACAACTACATGGGATGCAGATTGCAGTGGGGCCAGGAATAAGTAGCAAAATGCTGCTTCTGCTGACCTTACCGATGAGGCAGAGCAGATCCTGCAATTGTACCAAGACTCACACGCACACTGACTCCACCTACCTATAAGCAAAACACAAATGCAGACCAAAGCCAGGGCAAGAAGAGAATGAAGGTGGCCAAGAAAAGGCCAACCAGGCTATCTGTACAAACATGAAACAGCAAAGGAGGGATCAGTGCAGATCAGATGGACAGCAGCATGCTTAGATGCGGATATCAAATGCTCAAATGCACACTGGCCACCAGCCAGCACAGACAGCATCTGCCCTAGGCCCTCCGGCCTCCCCAGGCACCTCTGACCAGCAAATTGCTGGGGCCAGCAGACCCTGCTGCACCCAGCTGGCAGCGGGAGCTGGCACCCGGCACCGAGCAGTCACATCACAGACACGTAAGGGCAACAGACTCAAGCTAATACAGGTGCCTGAGTCACGAAGCAGACATCCCGCGAGTATTCTGCTTGCACAGAAGAGGAAACACACAAACCTTAAAGGCGACACAGACTTTCCTGGCAACTAGCTTCTCCATGGCAGTCAGCATGACTGGATAACGGATTTCTTTCCCTTCACTGTCCCGTTCAACCTTCCCATCCAAAGCAGGGGATTTACGAGCCTCTGCATGGGCATAGTCTGGCCCAACAGTGTAAACCTGAAAAGAGAAACAGTCACACCTGACATAAGCCCTAGACTAACTGTAGCCTCCAGAAGGATTTTCTATTGCACATACACACACACACACACGAAAAACAAAAAGAAAAAAACAAACAAAAAACCAACAAAAGAAAGAGAGATTAGAAGCTCTCATACATTTTTCTTATTAAGATCTGCAGAGTGCTAGCTCCTCACTTTGCAATCCAAGTTGCACAATCAGCATCTTGCAGGTTGAAAAAAAAAAAAAAATCAGACTGTGAAGTGTTAAGTAGGACTACTGAATTTCCAGCTACCCAGGTTTTCCTTACCTTTACATCTGTGCCATCTGTAGGCATGAACTCTTCATAAATGTATGAGCCTGTCTTCCTTACACTGCTCTCTGGGGAGTACACACTACTCCGGCTGCCAATCTGAAAGCACAGAATAAAACAATGTGGGTTTTTTTTGTTGTTGCTTGGGTTTTTGTTTGTTTGTTTGTTTTGTTTGTTTGTTTCTAAAGAGAAAAACAAACAACATGAATTTAATCCCATACTTAAAGAACTAACTGAACATCTCCAGGACACCCATCTGTTACAGCACAATAATTAATGAAGGACAGAAAAGACATCAAACTGCACTGGCACTGAATATGCCCTTTTCCAGGCTTTAAAGAGGAAAACGTTATTGTAGACCACTAGGTGGACTCCAATCGCGAGAAGAATATGGAACAAAAAAAGTGGATAAAGACATAGAAAGTAAGGAGTCTAGTCAATAAGCAAATTATAACAAGCAATGACAAATCACAGTCAGATCAGTTTAAGACAGTGCAACAGACCTTACAGACAGGCGCTAATACTGTTTTCATTTTTAGTAAGACTTAGGATACGATCTTTAGTGACATGCCTATATGTAGAAGCTAAGGAAACAATCATTTTAAGTTTACTAATAGCAGATGCATAAGGACTGCTAAACATGACAGGTCAAACACAGGATAGTGGAAGTGTGGTCAGCACTAGAATACATCTTTCTGCAACTCCCAACTAGATGGAATTTAACTTTAAGTTTTACAAAGGTACAGACTACCCCAAAACAAAGCTTTCCTTCTCCCTTTCCTCAAAACCCCCTCCTGAAGCCACACAGGTCTCAGACCCACAGATCTGTTGGTCCCAACAGCAGAACTGGAGTCCCTCTCACCTTCCGAAAGAGACGCTGGCTGCCCCCACCTGCTGAGGTTGGGTAGTAAATATACACGTTATGGTCTTCAGCACTGACTGGCTTCTCTACAAATGGCTTTGGGAAAACAGCTCCATTTACCTCCACATGGTCTTCTCCTTCCACTAAGTTGCATTCTGAGGACAAAGCACAGCAACAGCAAGTTAGACAAAGGGGCAAACAGCCTCACTGCAGAGCTGAGCCTCTTCAGTCCTGGCCAGTCAGCAGCTTCTGTATTTTACCCTCTGACCAGTGTCCAACTAAACTGACAGGCTTATGAACCTGATCTGTTCAAGCACATTATCTGCATAGTATCTTAAATGGTACAGAACACAAAAATCGCTGTCAGCAGAGCCTGGCATTTACCTTCTGGTCTATCAGGGTCACGATTGAGCACAGCATAGCGGGGCAAGTCTATCCCCTCTTCTTGAAGAATCCGATACACTTCCCGCCTGCAGAGGACAAAAACAGTGAGGACCAACAGAAGAGTCTGGAAGGTCCCCAGTACAAACCAAAGGAAAGGCTTTGTTTTCACTGATGAAAAATAAAGTCAAGTGAATACAAGAAGTATTGACAGAGTGCAGATACTTGCCACCACATGTTCCCCAGACGAGACGCACAAGCTACAGGGCATGCCTCATCCCTGCTCCGTATGGGAGCATCGCAGGTTAGACCTCTGCCTGGCCTACATGGGCATACCTGTTTGCTAGCACCTGCCCAATTCACAGCAACATACCCAGCAAATGCCACTACCCAGATGTGTCCCCCTACAAGGGGGCTGTCACACTCAGCTACCCATCACCCACGCCTTGCTTTGACTTAACATCAATGAAGAATCTGCATTTCTCTTATTAGAGAACCTATGGTGCCTATCAGCATCCACAGGAATGCTGCCCACATTTCAAAGGCACGTGTGAATTTTTGTATCTGACATTAACACTGCTCATCTGTAGTCAAAGCACTACAAATCCACAGAAGCACTAAAGACTACATGAACTGAAGTACATGCTTGTAAGTTGGTATTTGATTTCCGACCGACTTAAATCAACTTAACTTATGAAGAGCTGACTGAAAAGCCTCTGAAGTGTCTTACTGACGCACCTCATTCAAGGGAGGGGTATACGCCCTCCAATATTCCCTCTTCAGAATGGCCTTGCTGCTCCAAATTTCTGCCGCATAATGTCATCCCACTACTTGGCTCTCTTCCTTAGAGACCAGTCTTTTTGCTTTAGCCATGCCAGTCTCATTCTGTAAGACTGTGTCCTCTTAATTCATTCAGTCCTTCCTTACAGTGCATATGTATTAAGACGACAAAATACACCATGTCTCAAAGGTTTCACCTTGAAACCTATTTCCCTCATGCTAGAGGGGAACAACCTCTAAAATCCACTGCCAAAGTGCCATGTCCCCCCATCCCTCGTTCGCTTACAGCCAGGGAGATGAAGCTTGCACAGCTTGCTGAGGAGGGGAACCAAAAAAAGGGAAGGGGCATTAGAGGATCCCAGACACCTACCTGTCCTGGATGTAATACTGCATATCAAGGTCATTAATCAAAAACGGCCTGCACAACTTGGCATAAGCAACTGCTTTATCCAGTGGGAATCCTGAAATGCAGGGTGGCAGGCGTGGGGAGGGAAAAAAGAAAAAGATGAATGGAAACTCCCTTGCCCAGATCTCAGGTAGGATACTGCCTGCCATGCAGGCTTTTACCTTTGGAGTGGAAGGAGATAAGGCAGTCACAAGAGGGCCAGTTCTCCACTGGTTCATTCAGAATAACATCTTCCCCCATAATCACCACTGTGATATACTCAAACTTGCACAGACGTTCCAGAATCTGCGTCATGGGCTTTGACTTGGACTTTTTGGTCATGGCACATATTCCAACCACAATCTGCCGTTCAGGTGGCTAAGGGGAGACACAAGGCAGTTTAGCACAGGGTCAGCTACTTTACTGGATTCAGACTGTAACAACATAGAAATACAGCAGTTCGGAACAAAGGAGGAATTTTCATCTAACTGCAAGCACTCCCAGGTCTTGCTAGATTCAAATCCATATACACTTCCAGTTCCCATTAGATTTCACTGGCAGATGTTGTAAAGAAACATCCCAAAACAACCACTTCTTTTCCAGGTAATATATATCTCCTTTCTGGGCACTAGGGTTAAGGTCAGAAGGGAACAAGCAGCAGTGTCTCAAATCCTGTACTCTGTTCTTTGGCTCATAACTCACAACGACCATTGATAGAGTTCGGAGGACTCCAAAAAGCCACAAATGCTGTACAGCAAAAGACTGCAGGAACTTAGCCCGTTTGTCTTATCTGAGGGGGAAAAAAAAAAAAAAAAAAAAAAAAAAAAGAGGGAGAGAGGGGCGAGAGGGAAAGTGACAGCTCTGAGTAGACGCAAAGCAGTACCGAGGACTCGCCAATCCACCAGACAAAGGTACAATAAGATCTGGTGGGAGGAAGTTAAATAAGTATAGAGAAAAGGCACACATTTAGAAAGCACTGCTAACTGTAGATGAGAAACAAGCTAGAGTCTGTGACAGATTTTCCAAAACTGACCTTTTAAACTCAGACTGGATGTTTCCAATAGATTAATTCCGGCCCAAGGAAGACTAAAACCAGTGAGGTTGTCTGAAGTGATAAACATGGTATTGCAGATGCACAAGATGCAGAATGGTGGCTGCAGGCTGTAAACTGAGACTTCTGGAGTGTCTGCACCAACCCCCAAAGCCAAGGGCTCAGATTCCACAGCAAAAAGAGTATCTAGAAAGGCTAAGGGCTTCCAATTCTTTTGCCACATCTTATAAGCAGCTCTTTACTGAGCATCAAGATACGTAACCAAGGGAGCCCCTACGGCTCCTAGGTCAGTAACACACCTGCAATGGAGACATAAGAGCACAGGGGCACTGCGAGTAGCCGCCACGTGCTCCAGACCACACGAGCAGGAGCGAGGCCGCTGCCGGCCGCACGGGCAGACGCAGCGCGGCAGGAGAGCGGCAGACTCCAGGCTTTGCTCTGATCCTTCTCCTGGGCTCGTCCTGCTCTCCCTGCTTCTTAGCTCCCCTTCCTCAGTTCTCAGCTAGACTGATCAGCTCCAGCAGTCCCGGCTAGTTTTCCAATCTGACCCTTCTTTGAAAAATAGTTGCTCTTTCAAGTCACAACTTAGGAGGAAAGAACTAAGCATGAGGGAAAAGGAAAAGGATAAAAAAGGCAGTCTCAACCACCTAAAAAATGCAACAAATACTGGTCACTCCAATCACTGAAGCATCAATACTATATCATTGGATCCTTCCTAAAAGTGGATTCCCATGGACTGTGGATATATTTCACCCTTGATGTACTTTCTATTTGGAATTCTGTATTGGAAGAGGCAGCACTGCAGGGCTTCCATATGGAGGAAAAGCAGCTCCTCTCAGCCAGAGAAGAGGGAATGGGACTTGTAATGTGCCAAAGGCACCGGGCAGTTTCTCTGGAATGACAGATGATTTCCTCAGGAGCAAACTGTAGCACATTCCATCTCACTCTGGAATGATTTGCTCAATCCATTCCAATAAACAAACAAACCTTTCCCACTCCAGACTTAAAACAATAAGCAACAGAAAGTCAGGAGTTTCTTTACTCCACTGCAGTGCCCTGGCCTGCAGGTCTTGCAGAGACAAGTCCCAGCTATTTACTGTTTCCTTTGCACTGTCTTTAGAGAGCTATTTTAGCACCCTTAAAGAGGAGGTTAGCGCGCACTGCCCATGACATTTTCTATCTGTGCTACAGGATACACCCACATTGGCCTTCACAGGCTGCATCATCTACCAAACAGAAGTGAGGAAAACAGCACATTGAAGTTCTGCAAGACCACAACATACTACCCTAAGGTTATGCCAGTGCAGCTTAGCATGAGCCACGGTCCACTTAGCTCACCAAGAGGCAAGAACTTCAGTGAACAGAAGGACCTCTGAACACGGGCCCCTAGTAAAGGCCACCGTGGGGAAACAGAGGAGTGGGTTAATAAAGGCCAAAAGCAGCCGGAAACTGAAAGTGATTCTGTATCCTACTGCAGGTCACAGAACAGAGGAACTGCTTCAAATCTGTAGACACGTCTTTGCCCTGTGCACAATTCCTACAGTTTTCCTCAAAACTTCCCTAGTAAAACAGAAAGACTCATAAGAGATGGAGGCTTAAATTGCCAGGACGAAATTGTCTGCTGCTGCACCTGGCAGCAGGACAATGCAGCACATCCCATCACCCCACCAAATGCCATGTGGCCTGGTGCCGAGTCCCCAACTGCCTGTGGTCTCCACAGCAGCCACTCAAGATCGGCTCAGACCCAGGATTTCTGCCCAGAGGCTTCAGCCCAGAACACAGGACCTCCTTACCGATTCCTCCTCCTCTTCATCTTCAAAGAAATCAATTTCGTCTGTCTTCATGTTTGATCCAAGGAAGTCTGTCTCATCATCCCTGGAACCGACCACAAACCTGGGAGCAGAGCTTTCTCCCTCACTGGAGGTCGTCAGGGACGACATTGCAGCCTTGGTGGCCAACCATCCCGCTCTGGAATCACAACACACAGAGATGAGGAACATCTGCTGACACAGCGAGCCAGGGGAAGACGCTGCCAGGAGGAGGGCAGGATGGGCTTGTCGGGCACCAATGTGCGGTGATCGAGCAGGGACAGGCTGCCCCTCACCAAAGCTGGAAGCAAGGCACGGGGAAGGAAGCCTTGAGGCAGAAGAAACTCTCAAGGCAGCAGGGGGTACAAAACCATTTTAGAAAGGCTGCGCCACTGCACAACTAACCCATGTGCAGCAAGTGGGAAAGGGACAGTGTCACCTCCAGTGCTGAAATAATTTAAACCTTACAATGATGCATGCTCCAATCCGCTGGATAAATCACTGACCAGGACAGTGGATATACTTGTGGCCTCGCACACTCAAAGACTTCAGCTGTGACTCCAAAAGTTAGGATGAATCTTGGGAGAACAAAGGTGAATTTCCAATCCCCAATTTTCATTCCTTAGCTCAAGAAGACCTAAAATAACAGAAAGACTAGTCTGAGGCATGTAAGTTTGGAGGAGGAAAGAAAAGGAAGTGACAACTCTCAGATGAGGAAAGAAGACATGGACAAAGCAACAGCAATAGTCAGGGCTACAGAGAGGGCTTTGGGTTTGCAAGCTAGTTCTGATTTACTGTGCGACCATGAATCATCAACATATAACCTATAACTTATATACACACACACACACCAGGAAAGGAGTGCATCTTGCACTGCCAGCTGTGACTTCGCAAACACCTTATCAAGCACTTGCTTAGAGTGGACAAGACATGTTAACGCTGCTTCCCGTGCTCTTAGACGGTGTCCAGCGCCGCTCAGCCTGGCTCCTGCTGCGCGTCCTGCTGCGGCCAGGGCACGCAGGGCAGCACCCTGTGCACAGCGCCGGCATTCCCCACCGTCTCTGCCAGCTCTCCACAGGGCACACGAGACGGCCCAAGACGCACCCACCCACCGGCAGCGGGGTTTCCCAGGAGAGGAGAACCCCCTCACAGACGACAGAGAAAGAGGTTGACTTAATCTATTTGAGCAGAGTGGGAAAAGCAAAAGAAACAAAAACACAGACAGCAACCCAGCTGGTTGTGAAATCCCCTTGGAAATAAGAGTAAAAACAAAGCAGCTCTCCATGCAGAAGGCTGTGCCTGTTCTCAGGAAGGACAGGAGATTTAACAGGCTCGTGCCCAAAGAGAGCACCGAGCAGAGATGCACCAGACACACGAATGGCTGCTACAGGCTGCAGTTCACACACCGCATCCCCCGGAGCCTGCAGCAGCACGGCAGAACCAGAGACCAAACTGGGCTCCTACCGTAGCAAGGACGATCCCCTCGGCAGCGGCGCTGGCTCGCTCGGTGACCGGCCTCCGCACAGAGCCCGGGGCTCGTCCAACGAGAGGAGCGGCCAAGACAGCGGGGGCCAGGGCTGCGATTCACCCCCAGGGCTCTCTGCGGGGCCAGCACGGTGCCGGGAGCCCAGGCCGCACAGGCAGTTTGCACCACGTGCTCCGTATAACCCTGCCATACAACACAAGGACAAGAGCAGGATTCCTGTTATTCGGGGGCTACCTTCGTTGCTGGGCTCAGCACTGGGGCCCAGGTGAGACCTCAGCAAGTCCTGCCCGCTTGCAGAGCGGCGATTTCCTGAAACAAACTGTGCAAGGAAAGGAGGGCTGTTCTCTCCAATCCCTTGCCCTCCCCTCCCTCCTCCAAGAACCTTTGTCCTGAGAACTAAGAAAGCAACAGATTCTCTACGCTCCTGCCTCTAGCCAGGAAGAAAAGCCCCTACCCTGCTCTGCAGCTATTTCCATGGGTTACAACACACCATACAAAAAAGCCAGAGCTGAGCTACAGTAGCACCGAGTTAATACTGCTGGCTAAACTCCTGATGAGAGCATTAGCACAGTCCTGACACACACACAGAGGCAAACGGAAAACAGAGACACACTCGGCCAAGGAAAGGTTAGGAAGGAAGGTTTTGAGCAGAGAACCTTCAGGCTTCCTAACCCCATCGCGGGTACACGAGGAAACGTCCACCAGGCGCTTACGGCTCCCGACACTCATGCGCCGCCTCCCCAGGAAGGCGCAGGTGATCAGCTACAGGGCCCCAGTAAAGGTTAAGGTAATTAACTAATGGCAATCATCAGCTGCTGGCACAGCCTGAAACTGAGACAGAAGTTCTGCCCTCGACGTTCTGGAGTCACTCTCCGGTCTGCGCCACATTCAGGACAAGAAATGAGACAGCGAACAGGCTCTCCAGCAGGTCATTCTGGTGCTGCTCAGCTAAGGGTGTTCACGGATTTATTCTACGTACCCCAATTTGAAATACCGAAAGTCTGAAAAAGAAGGGAGTATGATCAGGTCTTTTGCTAACTTCTCTCATCATGTGGTACTGACCAGTGAAAGTTTCTTAATGCTATTAATGGAGCCCATATATCGGGGGCAGCTGCCAGATCTGCAAGCGCAGCCCCTGCTGCAGGGGGCAAAGGACAGGGCCGCCCGCGCCGGGACATGCAGCAAACAGGGCCACGCGCGTCGCGGCTGCCGCTGCGGCGGGGGGAGGGAGGGGCCGGACCCGGGGGGGGGGCCCTCCAGGGAGCCTCGGGGCATCTGACCAAGGCTAAAAGAGCCGAGGGCACCGCTGTGCAAACGCGCAGCAAGGGCGAATCGGCTTAGAGAGCCTCAGCCCCACCTAAGACACCTGAAGCACCTGCGATCCTACGAGTACGCGTGGTTGGTATTTTAGAAAAATACTAATGCTGAAAAGGTCTTATTGAACTCTATCTGCATTAGAAGACACAACAGCCTAGGCTGCAGTCTTGTGTGTGCATTATCAGGAGGTACCTTTGCCTAAACGGGTAATCCTACTCTGTAAGAACTTACAGAGTAAGGATTCTGTACTAAAGGTTAATCACACACCTAAATACAAAAGGCAACATTGTCCTCTTGTCAAACACTAAGTGGCATAAACTCTTAATTGCTTCAAAACAAAAGTATTGCAGAGTTAATAATTAAAAGCTATTTGGACTTAGAGCATTAATATAAGCTTGCCATGCTTCACTTGCACAGAGCAATGAGTTCAAAACCAGGATACCAAAGCTGCAGTTCCAGAAGCAGTTCTGCCTCCTGGAGAGGCCTTTTCTGTAACTCCAGGTCTGTCAGCAGCTCCAGACACATCCATGGTTCACGCATCTCGCGCGTCCTGACAGGGAGCAGTGCTTCCCGCAGAAAGTGCTGCGGGCTGCAGATTTAGTAAGAGCTCTTGGCTTAGCATTTCCACTCCCGAGCAAGCGTCACGTTGCTCGCACAGCAGGTGCACCAGTGAGACCCAATTGTGTCTCCTTCATTTGTTAAATATGAAGCTTCAGCAAGTTTTCTGAAGTTGTAGCTGTTAAAAAAAAGTTAGTAACAAACCGAAGCATGAAATAATTTTCCCTTTTTATAAAAAGGGAAATATCAGAAATAAGCTTAATCATGCACACGTTTAATTTTAGAAGAATCAATACATTGGCTCACTTTGCTTTGCACGTGCAGAACCTGCAGCCCGTGGACGCACCAGCCCTGGACCTCGGTCACCTGCAGCCGTCCTTTCAGGGCAAGTCCCCAGATGCCCCTGTGCCCTGCTCTCCCCGCTCCCTCGCACGCCAGCAGCCGGCCGGGGAGCCGGCACCGGGACAGAGCCGGGAGCTCCTCCGCAGGGAGGAGCGGGCGCGGGGCACGCGGCTCCGGCAGCACTCGCTCCGCGCAGCCAACACGGGCCGCGG